AGGAATCTGTGTTTTAGTGAACAGCCGATTGATTTCAATGTGTAGTTCTTAGAACATGGCTTTCATAAGCACCAATCAGCTGATACAATATGAACAGAGGTAGAAGTTAAAATACTTACATTTGTTCATCATTAGATTGTAAAAACATTAATGCTCACCTTGTAAAATTTGTAAGTATATTTATAAGCATACAAAACTCCATTGTGTAAATCACTTGCAATGTCTTCTCAGGTATTAATTTTTGAAAAATGTAAAATAATTCAAATAATAAATGTTCAAGGTAAATAAAATTAAAGCACAGATCACCTAAGCATAGCATTTACCAATCATCATTTTCAGCATATCAAATATATTCCAAATTAAATTTCCAAACCACACAACCTATTAAAAGTCACAAAGCTGTGAAAGGCCCATGAAAGCTTAAAAATATATAAAAATATCAGGTTTGTTTTTTATCTTTTGGCATTGTTTTGAATATAGTCAGGCAGTCTCTAGCCATTTTATTTTAGTGTTTTTTTTGTAAACCACGGTTATCCTTAAGAACACTTTCCTGTCAGGAGAGAGACAAACAATAGTGAACAGCTGTTAGAGTCTAGCAAGTATTCCCTTAGCATTATCCTTGGACAACCTGAAACAGCATCACTTAGTATTTATTGTAAAGTACAGATACCTCCTTGAGTGGTGTGGCTCAGTTGGTTGGAGCACCACCCGCAGACCCAAGTGTCTCAGGTTCCATTCCCAGTCAGGGCACATAGGTACGTTGCAGGTTCATCTGTGGGAGGTGGGGGTTCATGTGGGAGGCATCTGATCCATGTTTTTCACATGACACTTCTCTCTCTCCCTCCCTCCCCATATATCTGAAATTAACAGGTATGTCCTTGGGCAAGGACACAAAAAGGAAAGTACAGATTCTTAGACCCTCCATTACACGCATTAAATCAGAATCTATTTGAAGAGAGGCACCAGGATGCTTGTGGATATCTGTAAGTAAATAATTTACAGGGTTAGAGTTTGAGATGTAATCATTTCATTAAGTGCAAGGGAGAGAAAAAAGTTAAGTGGCTTGAATTTTCACTGCATTTTCTGAAACTTCACCCCTTTCAATGGTGACAAAGGAAAATATTCAATATAGGGCCAGGACTAGTGAGTGAGCCTTGGGTATGAAAATTAAGAGATCATTTAAAAATGATAATAATAATAAAAACAGGATGTGATGCCTCAACAAACCATATTGGAGCTAAAGTAAAATAAGTAACATTTAAGTAAAATAAGCAGTACCGATTCTGTTTTTCTTTAAAACATTTATTTTTGTTTATTATAGATATTTTTGGAAAGATTTATTTTAAATAGTATATTAAATATTGCTTATCTTGATTATTGAGCTTTTCAGCTCCCCTTTAATTTTTTCACTATAGGCAAATGCCTCACCAGGGTGCTGGCTCTACCCCTCTATGGTGTGTGCAAAATAAAATTGCTCTAGTAGGCATGGGGAAAATGCAGACAACTGTACTTAAACAACAATACAATTAAACAAAACTTTTTTGAAAGCATGTGAACATCCAGCTAGATAGGTTGTTCGCCTGCAGTTGAATCTCCTGGGGGTAAATATGTTTCTGTCTGTATGTAGAACCAATCGTGCTCCCCCAAATTAATCAGATCAATATGAAATGAAGTCAAGTGAACTTACGTTTTTCTAGACTGAGTGCCCTACAACATTATTTGGTTAATAATTTTTAATTAACTAGCTGCTGTACTAAACCTAAAATAAGGTGGGGAGGAGGATGCATAAAGGAACAAAATTATTCTGAACTGGAAAAGTAAGAAATACTGAGCTGATTAAATAATAGTTCTAGTTAACACCTAATAATGTCTTCAAAGGTTCTATTTTGTTGTTATTGTTATATTTTGTATAGAAGAGTTTCTCTAAAGAAAATGCTTTTCAAGTCCCATGACCAAGAAGAAGAAAACCAAGCCAAGTATTTGATTGCCTATTAAGTACTTGTTGTGACATATATTCATAGAAGCAGATTTTTGTCAAACTGGCTATTTCACTACTGCAGAGTTTCACTATTGTCTTCATTGGACTAAAACAGCTTGTTTAAAACCTACACACGGCAGGGCTCTTTTGAAAATTGTTTGTTCAAACATGACAGATTCCCACACTAAAGAGTAATAAGAAAACTGAAACATAAACTTAAAGCTAGCCTTTTGAGCAGTTAAAGGAGCCAGACTTTGGTTAATTGTGGAAGTGGAAAAATGGAGTCATGTCAGCACATGTCTTGGTAATTCCTTAAAAGCCTTAGAGCAAGTATAGATGAGTGCCATTAGCAGTGGAGATGTTCACCGATGTGTTGATAGAGGGGATCTCTAGAAACAGGATCTAGGTGCTTTTAACTTCCTATAGAAAGTGCCTTGTTCAATTTATTTTACTATGATGAGACTGCTTTGCCTATATGCAAAATATTATAATAGTTGTCACTTTCAAAAGTATATTCATACCCTAATGTTAGTGTGAAAGTTTTTGGTTTGGGAGATAAAGGGAATTTTTTTTTTACATTGTAAGGATTATGAGGTCCTGAGTTGCATCAATTTTTTAAAATATATTTTATTGATTATGCCATTACAGTTGTTCTATTCCCCCCTTCATTCCCCTCCACCCTGCACATCCCCTCCCCCACCATTCCTCCTTTAGTTTATTCCCCCTTTAGTTAGTGTCTCAAGTTCCTTAGATTCTATATCTCCCATACTATTCTTGCCCTCCACCCATCTATTTTCTACCTACCGTCTATGCTACTTATTTTCTGTACCTTCTCTCCCCTTCTCCTTCTCCCACTCTCCTGTTGCTAACCCTCCATGTGATCTTCATTTCTATGGTTCTGCTCCTGATCTAGCTGTCCTCTTAGTTTGTTTTTGTTTTAGGTGTGGTTTTTAATAACTGTGAGTTTGCTGTCCTTTCACTGTTCATCTTTTTTATCTTCTTTTTCTTAGGTAAGTCCCTTTAACATTTCATATAATAAGGGCTTGGTGATGATGAACTCCTTGAATTTGATCTTATCTGAGAAGCACTTTATCTGTCCTTCCATTCCAAATGAAAACTTTGCTGGATAGAGCAATCTTGGATGTAGGTCTTTGGATTTCATGACTTGGAATACTTCTTTCCAGCCCCTTCTTGCCTGTCAGGTCTCTTTTGAGGAATCTTCTGACAGTCTGATGGGAACTCTGTTGTAGGTGACTGTACCCTTATGTCTTGCTGCTTCTAGAATTATCTCCATTTTAATCTTGGCTAATATAATTATGATGTGCCTTGGTGTGTTCCTTCTTGGGTCCAACTTCTTTGGGACTCTCTGAGCTTCTTGGATTTCCTGGAAGTCTATTTCCTTTGCCAGATTGGGGAAGTTCTCCTTTATTATTTGTTCAAATAAGTGTTCCACTCGTGGCTGTTCCTCTTCCCCTTCTGGTACCCCTATAATTTGGATGTTGGAGCGTTGAAAGATGTCCTGGAGGTTCCTAATCCTCTCCTCATTTTTTTTGAATTCTTGTTTCTAAATTCTTTTCTGTTTGGTCATTTTTTTCCTCTTTCTGGTCCACTCCTTTGATTTGAGTCCCAGTTTCCTTTCCATCACTATTGGTTTCCTGTGCATTTCCTTTCATTTCAATTAGTTTAGCCTTCGTATGTTCCTCTAATTTGTGACTAAAATCAGCCAGTTCTGTGAGCATCCTGATCACCAGTGTTTTAAACTGTGCATCTGAAAGTTTGGCTATTACTTGGTTGCTTAGATTTATCGGCTCTGGGGCTCTGAGTTGTTCTTGAGCCATGTTTTGATCTGTTCGTGCCTGTTATGTATGAGGAGCGGAGCCTTAGATGTGCACCAGGGTGGGGCTACCCATGTCGCTGGTTTGTGAGGCTGTATGTGGGGGCGGGGTCAGAGAGGGACAATGGTGGTTCCCTCGCTGCTTCCTGCAGCTGGGGCCTGCACGGTTCTTCTCACTGATAACTTCTTCACCAGTTTACCTATGCATTAATGTGTGACTGAGATCAGCCCTCAGTGGGTCTGCCCGCTACTCCACACCTGGGATCCACCCATGGCTGTCCACATGCCTGGGTCCCATGCCTGGGTAGGTCCACTGGATCTTTCCTGCCCGACCCTGTTCTGCTGCTGGCTCTGCCTCTTTCCGGTTTGGCTGAAGGGTTTGTTGTTGTCAGACTTCCTTATAGTTCAATTTTCTGTGGTTTGGCTGCATTTTTGTTGCTAAAACTTTACTGTTTTTAAACTTGGTTGTACGAGAAGACGCAGTGCTTCCACCTAAGCCTCCATCTTGGCGGAAGTCCCCTGAGTTGCATCAATTTTATATAGTAAAACTTTCAGAGACATTAAACATTGAAATTAACACTTTATTGAAGAAGTTATGTTTATTGTCCTACACAATGGTGGAGAAATGAGCAGAAAGACTACTTTAGGTCATTTCAAGCTTCACAATTCTATTATTATTTGAAATACTTTTTCTTTTTTTTTATTTTATTTACTTATTTTTAGAGAGAGGAGAGAGGAAGGATAAAAAGAGGGAGAGAAATATCAATGTATGGTTACCTCTCCTACAACCCCTACTGGGACCTAGCCTGAAAACCAGTCATGTGCCCTGACTAGGAATAGAACTGGCATCTCTTTGGTTCACAGGCCTGTGCTCAATCCACTGAGCTACACCAGCCATGGCTGAAATACTTTTTCAAAAAATGAAGAGGAGCACTGTAAAGTTTTCAAGAATTTTGCCAATTTTATTAAGTTTTTATATGAATAGGGTTTCTTGACCTGATTGTAACATGATGAGTTGGGTTCAAGGGGTGGGGAGTTCCCCCAACACCAACAAACAATTCTTGGACACCAGTAGGATGCCTAAGAGTTCAACTCAATTCTGACATATCCATCCAGAGATGGCATCAGATTCCACAGGTTAAGAGTTCAATCCTACAAGATTGCCCCCATCCCCAACACACACACACACGACATCAGCTTCAAGCCCAGGCTCTATGTTTATGACTGACTGGCAACAGATTGAAGATTTTAATGACCCTCTTTTTGGGTTCGATAAATTTGCTAGAATGGATCACTAGAACTCAGGAAAATTTCCTTACTCACTACATTATCAATTTATTACAAAGGATATTAAAGAATATATACCAGTGACAAATGAAGAGATACAGGGGTGATATCTGAAGCCAAAGAGCTTTTATTCTTGTGGAGCTTGGGACAGGACGCCATGGCATGTGGAAGTGCTCTGGTTTCCCAACAACAAAGCTCTCCAAAATAAAAGATCTGCAGTGCTATCTTCCTGGGTTTTTATAGAGGTTTCATTACATATTCATAATTGACCAAGTCATTCCATTGAACTTCATCTCCGGTCCATCTCCTCTTCTTAGAGGTCAGTGGGTGGTGAAACTAAAACTTCCAAATGTCTGTTCACACTCTTGGATGTCCTGGAAACCGTGGGGTCCAAAAGTCACCTTAATTAACGGAGCAAAAGATACCTTGATTATTCTTAACACTTACAAAATTCCAAGGGTTTGAACCTATGAGTCAGGACCTATGGATGAAGATCAAATATTTAATAGATCATAATATTACAGTCAAACCCCTGTTCTTTGGCTGTGGGTCACTCAGGGCAACACTATCACATAAGCCAAAGATGCTGGTACATTACAAGAATCTCATTCAGTTTTTAATAACTATTCAGTCCATCATCACACCATACAAAAATATCTCCCAGGGTGAGGACTCTCAGGTTTGCGGGATTCCATCTGATCCTGTCAGGTTCCAAAAGCAGAAGTGGTCTAACACCTGGTTTCACCCTTCTGGTCATCTAGTAACATGGACATAAGAGACAATATGTTCTCTTCCTCTGAACCTCTTTCAAGGTGTAACATTATATTGGATTTTCCTTATAACACAACTCAGTTACTCATTTGTTTTGTTACCCTCAGTGACTATTTTTCTTCCTCTCTACATATACTCCACCTTCTCCACCTTTGGGAGGGATGTTAGGTTTGGCGACTGTGCTGGTCTAGATTGCTGGCAGCAATACTGGTCTAACAAGTGCCCCTCCCTCTGCCCACTTCTATTCAGATAATCTGAAGTTACATAGATCGTAGATACAGAACTGGCGGACTATCTTTACCAACTGGCATACAGATGATCCAGCTGTTAATTCTAAATTTGCCAGATGGGCTGAAGACCCATCCTGACCCATCAGGCCCTTAGGGATTCTGACATAAAGGTTAAAAACACAGTTAGTTACAGTTTATTGCTTAGGAATCATCTCTTCTTCCATCCCTTGTAGTTGCAGCCCTGACCCTATGCCTGCTGAATCAAGTAGAAGGGAAAATAAAGTGGAGGTGATGTAGGGAAGAAAGCAAACCTGCTCCTTCCCCACACCCTCATCCCCAGATCACCAGAAAGACAGTCAAGTCTTCCTAGGGGGTACTCATCTCAAAGTTTAGTGTGAGCTGATACTCATGAAAGCATGTAGCCAGCCCTTCATGCCTTTCTCTCTCCCATTTAGAAAACCAATGTTTTAATTGCCCATTATAATTCCTTATCAGACTATTACTGGAGAAGATCTCTCTGCCCATTGCTGAATGTTATGGGTGGTAAAATGTGTTCCTCAGTCTGAAGAAATGCTCAGCCATCCTCATTTGTGCATTTTCTATCTCTTGCTGCATTTGTTTATAGCATTGACTATCTGCATTTACATTTCTAGGTGACTTTGAGGCTGATGGCTAAATCCCAGATTGACCTTCATTTTCATTAAGTTCAGCATAAAGACACCCAGCAGTTTCTTTTACTTTTATTATGGCTATTATAAATAACAATAACCAGGGAACTGTATGTTTAGCATGCTTCCTATTAATTTGCATTTCCTTATATGTTCAATGAGCCAACTCCTAGAAAGTCAGATCTACCACCATTTTTAAATTCCACTGGTAACTTTTACCTGCAGTTATGGTCACAGCACGGGTACAGTTTGATACCATAGGTGACCAAGGAGCCAATAAAAATGAAGGTTCCTCATCCCTCACCCTTATATCCTTTCTTTTGAAAAATCATGTTTCTATGAGTCAGACCATTCTAGAAAATCTCACTTTACTGCCACCAACTGAATGGGGTTCCCAGATCCAATTCCAAAGTTGGAGAAGAGGTTTTTCTCACACTGACAATTAAATATTGGACATCAGCAGGGTGTCTGAGAATTTAAGTTAATTCAAACACTAGCTATCCACCATATTCCTCCACAGACTTCAGAGGCTAGCCTCAAGCCCAGGCTCTGTGTTTTGGACTAGCTACATATTAGAGGTTCCAGGGACTCCTCTTTGGGTTCAGTTAATTTGCTAGGACAGCTCACAGAACTCAGGAAAACCAGTTTACTTACTGTAGAAATTATTTCATCATGAATTTTTGTGAAAACCTTATTATACTACATATTGTTTTTCTTAAGAAAGTACACATTTATGACAGAAACCTTGTTCATTTTAGCAAAATAAATAACATTCTAGCAGTTCTTACTATTTAGGAACATGAATATTTTTTTCTTTGCCTCAAGTCTTTTTTTGGAAATTTAATAAGAGAATATTAAGACCCTTTATTTTATACTAATTTCACACCAAACTTAAATACTACTCTTCTATTTTAATTATTTTCTAGTTATTTTCTTTTTTACCTATATATTAAACAAGTATTGACTATGTACCTACCATAAAATAGACACTGTGTGAGACCCTAAGGAAAGAGAGGCAAACAAGGCAGATAATAACTGTCTTCAGGGGGCAAATGCTGTGTTTGCCTCAGTGCCTTACATGAAAATATCAAATGAAACATTTCATAGTATTCTGTTCATAACTCTGGACATGGTTATTCTAGCATCTCTGTGCCTCAGAGATAATATTTACGAAGACATTTAAATGTTTCTGGTGAGAATTCCCTGGATTATTTTGAAGAACAAAGCAATGAAAATGGGAAAAGCATGCTCTCTCTTACTTAATTGATGATAAATGCTTTTTTGAATGAAGTCCAGTATACTTACAACCATGGTGATGTCATATAATAAGTCTGTTTTGATGTTAAAGTCAAATGCATTTATGGCTTATACTTTAGAGGAAATAGTTCTGTGTATCTTCACCTAGGTACACATTAATAATGTACATATTGGGCAACTATGCTTCATTTGTATGCTTTTAAAATGTTTGAAAATCTGCAACATAATGAAAAACACGATTGTTTGCACTTGGGATTAATTTGCTGGTGGAAGATGAAATTCTGAATAAAGCTATTTATTCCATGAGGAAATCCATTCTATCCTGTGTCTATTGAATGGAGAATAAGGCCTTGATATGAGTATAGACTTGCTTTAGCATCTTTCCAGAATTTTAATTTACAAATCCTTCTCTTGATATGCCATGAATTTTTCTTTAATAATATGGAGAAAGAGAGTCTTTAAGGTTTAATTTCCAGTGAGGATAAAAATAATTTATGTAGACTAACTGTCCCAGAAGGAACAGTTAAAAAAAATCTTGAAGGAAGTGTATAGGCCTTGAAGCACAATGGAGGCAGCCTAGAGTTGCTGGGAAATGGTATCTAACAGTAGACAAGTGCACTGATTATACTGACAGTCTGCTGTGCTGTGGCTTTAATGAAATTCAATAAAAAATTAACAGACATTTGACAAACAACCAAAGATTGAAAAAAGAGTGAAAAAAGGAGAAAAAATAACCATTGTTTCATATATAGGAGTTATCAGATACAGGATTTGAAAATATTGTGATTAATGGGGCAGTGGATAATATGATTACAAAATTTTATCAGGAAGTAGAATAAAAATTCTATAGCTGGAAAAATAAAACTACATAAGAAACTGATATGGAGTAGGTTAGAATCGGCAGAAGAAAATTAGTAAACTACATAGTAAATCAATACAAAACATAAAGACTAAAGCATAGAAATAAAAAATAATAAAAATAGAAAAATCACTTGCTGCATATAGAAATGTTCTTACATATGTGAAATGTGTTGAAATGTTCTTATATGTGTGAAATTGCAATTCAAGCAAGGAGGGAAAGAGAGAGGGAGAAAGAAAGAAATAATGTGGGTCTCAAGCAATTTGCTTACATATTGTCCAAGAGTTCTCCAAAATTGATGAAAAGCATCAGGTTACACTTTTCAGAAGGCCTTAGGCAGGGAAAAACACAAAGAAATTCATGCCTTAGAAAAATCATAGTAAAACAACCATAAACTACAGTAAAAAGAAAATCTAAACACCAACACTGGGGCAAAAAAGACACATCACCTTAAAGGATCATCAAGATGACATTGACAGCTGACATTTCAACATAACTGATGGAAGCTAGAAGTTATTGGGATCTTACTTTTTAAATGCTGAAAAATTATTTTCAGAAAAAAATTTTCTATAAACCAAAATTTTCTTTTAAAAATGATCACAAAGTAAGTATATTGAAAAAAATCTCAAATTTCTGCCACCAGTAGTGCACACTAAATGAAATAACAAAGGAATACAAAAAATAAATAAGTCCAGTGCAAACAAGTATATGGAGGAAGTAATGAAGAACTATGAAAAGTTAAGAATGTACATAATTATCAATAAGTATTGATGTATAAAATAAAAATTATAATGTATATAATGTAGAAATATAATACAAGACAACACTAGCACAAAAGCCAGAAAGAAGCAAGATTAGTAGAGTTTAAAAGTCTTTCCATAGTCCTGGAAACATTAAATTATGTTAGGCCCTATCATAAAGTGAAATATGCATGCTGTTATCTCAGGAAACTACTAAAAGTTACTAGAAAGAAAAATTAACCAATATAAATAATTGATGAATTCAATATAATGCAATAAAGGAGAGAAAAAAGAAACCTAGAACAGGTAAGGCAGAGACAAAATAAGTAGTGAGATATAGATTTATATCTAAATACATTGGGAATTACTTTAAGTATTCACAGACAAAGAACTCCAAGTAAAACACAAAGATTGTCATTTGTAATTTTAAAACTCAACCAAATTCAATCTATAGAGAATCATGTTAAATAAACATATATAAAAGTAAAATATTAAAAAGAAGATATACCACCAAAAACTAATGAAAGGAAAACTAGGTAGCTATACTAATATCTGAAAAACGAACTGTATGGCCAGAACCAGTGGCATTAATATAAATAAAAAATAAAAAGTATTCCTTAAAGCATTCATCACCAGGAATTACATAACACATGTTCTTATTCATCAAATTAGATGAACATATAATGATGCAACATATTAAAATATATAAAGTTATATTTCTTTATAACAAAATATATGCAGAACATTTTACAGAACATAAAGGATATATAATATATGAATTATATGGTAAATAAATGATCTACTACACAGATGGAACACTTATACACAGCTGTGGAGCAAATATTCTCTTCAAATGCTATCCAATACGAAAAACTAAACACATACTAGTCCTTAAAGTACTAAGTTTGAACACATTTAATGGAGTTGTATTACAAACTATATAAATTCTGCAGCCATATTATGAAAAAAGTTCTCTAATGTTTGACAGTTAACTCCAAAAACTTTAAGTATCGATGGTTCAAAAGAGAAATCATAATTAATGTAGAAAGGAAAAATAAAATTTTTACCTGAATTGTAATGAAAATTTTATACAACAGAACTTTTAGGGTGCAGCTGGAGTCATGTTAAAAGGTAAAGAATGTATTAAAAAGAGGGAGAAGTTACAACTAAATGTTATAAGTGTCACCTCAAGAACTTAGCCAGAAGTTAGAAAAAGAGTGCATTAAACCAAAAGAAAATAAGAGCGAAATAATTTTTAAAGATTAGAAATCAACTACATGGAAAACAAATAGACAATAAAAAGTAAGCACAAACACTGATTCTTAGGAAAGTTGATATATTAATTACTCCCTACCATGAGTTTTAAAGGCAAAAGGAGAATAAAAATTGCTAATATTAGGGGGAAATGAGCGTCTCTAAGTACCTATATAAATGAAAAAATACATAAGGTGTTAGCTTAGATGACCTCACTGGTGAATATTCTGTCAAGCATTTAACAAGAAACAATGCCAACATTACATAAACTGTTCTAGAGAATAGAAAAAAAAAAGTGGGAACATGTCTCATCTTGGTTTTTTAAATGAATAGCATAACTTTGTTCCCAAATTACAGGGTCATTCTCTTTCAGGAATTGAGGTACAGAGGTCCTATATAAAATATTACCAATTTATTTGTCAAGTTACTAACAAAATTAATAAAAGAGTAATATACCATGACCAAGAAAGGTGTATGTCAGAACTCTAATACTGGTTAACCAGTGTTGTTAATCATATTAACAGAGGACAGAAGAAAGATATATATAATTGTGCAAAAGGATATTGAAATAGCATTTGGACAAATTCAACAATATTAGTACATTGAAATTATCAAAGAATTTACCTAACCTGGTAAATTACATCTAATAAATAAAATTTAGTGGATATTTTGCATAATGTTGAATTTATAAAAGCTAACAGATAAAATATTTTATTATAAAGGTTCATTAATTGAGACAACAAAGTTGAATAGACCAGTGAAAGAAAATAGTGTATAACACATACATTCACATAAATTAACACTTGATTTTTGATTTTTGTCCAATATGACACTGGAGAAAAATGACAAAATTATAATCTTGTCAGTATGTGTTTTGAGTTAACTGGATATTATTATCAAGACAGAAAATGATACTTGATATAATGTTGCTCTAAATGTAGAAAATATTTTTTTTAAGTGTCTACAAAGTAATACAGAAAAATACAACTCAGGACAGGCAATGTTTGTTAAATAGGACACACAAAACAACCAGAAGGGAAAACATTAGTAAATCTGACTACATTAATAATTAGTTAAGTGTTCTGTTTATTAAAAATTTTTTTAAAAAAGGAAAAGGCACAAAGTTAAGCTACCAAAAGGGTAATATATTTTAATACAACTAAGTGTAAAATATATCCAGAATATATAAAAACTTACAATTAATTTTAAAGATAGGTAAGCAGATAGAAAAATGGGCAAATGTATACTTCAATGGGCTACTTTCCAAAAGAGGATATCCTAATGACATCATTAGCCATCTGGAAAAATTTTTAAAAGTAACACTATAATGAGATACTAATAGGACCAACTAAAATATGTAAAATTAAAAGTGATTAATATATATGTGTTTACCAGAAAGTGAGAAACTTACACACTGCTTTTCAGAGTATAATCTATTACAACTTTGGAAATCTGAAGATAACTCATGATACAGCAATTCCATGAGTTAGGCATGGACTCAATGGGATCATATATATATTTGCACCAAAAAACAGTGTAAGAATATTTATAACACATTATTTGCAAGTGTTAGATACTGAAAACAGTGCAATGATTTATTGTCAATTGGATAGATAAATGAAGATTAGTTATTTACAAAACTGAATACAGTATTGAAAATGAACAAATTACTGTGGCATGCAATAACATGCATAGATTCACAAACAGTCATCAGATTAATTTTAGAGGTTAGAAATAAAGATATTGATTACATTTGTAGAGGAAGGAACAGGAAATGGTTCAAAGAAATATGAATGTGATACTCTTCATGAAAGTTACCTGGGAGTGTTTGCTTTTTAAAATTGACTAAGCTCTAGATTTATGTTTTCTATGTTGCATTATGTCATACAATAGAAATAAGGTTAGTTTTAAAACACTCAGGACACTAAATCACTGGAAAAGTACAGTATTTCTTGTTCTTGTTCTAATACCCTATCAAAGTCCTACGTATACCTAAAACGTACTGAGATGTAACCATTTGGGCAAGGTATTCTTGCTGTCTTTTTTGTGGTATTTTAAAAAAATTTTAATCTCTTAAAGATTAAAGGAGACTCCAGGATAATACTTTTATATTACATTTCACCACATTTTGCCTTTGAGAAAGGTGAACACAAAGATAAGTGAAAAAGAATATGGGCTTTAGTCTTAGATCCGGTCCTTCCTTTATCGAGAAGCAGTGCTTGAGTACAGAGGCAAATTAATTACCAGCTCTAAGACATATTTTGTTGAGAAAGAGGGAGGGGGGAGTGAGAGCAAGAAGTACAGGCATGAGAGTTAGAAAGTGAGAAAGCAAGAGAGAGAGAGAGAATGAATGACTGTTTAGTTCTCAAGGTCCATACCTGGATTAAGGTAATATAGATGTAAAATAATCTAGCAAACCGCCTTGTGTACAAGCTTTCTCTCTACTGCTATTTTTCCAATTTCTCTATCATGTATATGGTATTAGTTTCCTAGGGCCATCATAACAAATCACTAACTAGGAAATTCAAAAGAACATAAATTTTTCCCACCATATGGGAGGCAAGATGTCTGAAATCAAAATGCGAGCAGGGTTGGTCCTTTTTCCAGATGCTAAGACAATATCTGTCCCACGCCTCTCTCAGAGATTCTAGTGGCTGCCGGCATTCTTTGGTATTCCATGGCTTATGCCTGCATCAGCCTAGTTTTTTGTCTTTGCAGGGCTGTCTTCCTGTATCTCCTCTGTCTTCAAATCCTCTCTCAGTAAAAGGACACTTGTCATTGCATTTAGGCCCCTCTAATCCAGTATGACTTCATCTTCACTTGATTGCATCTGCAAAGGTTACATTCCGAATAAGGTAACGTGCATGGACACTGGGGGTGAGAAAGTCAACATGTGTTTTTAGGGAACACGATTCAACCCACAACACATATCAAGCAGGCATTAAACTAGGGGAAGGTAACAGATTTGCCTGTGGTATTAAACAAACTAATAGCAAAGCTATACTAGAAAACGTGTAACTCAGTATTCAGTTTCCTTTAATATAAGAAGCAAGTATCCTGAGCCACATTTTCGTGATTCCAGAAATAAACTTTTAATCTGTATTGTATCCAATCATCTATTTTATAATCCTTGGCTGGATTTAGAACACATAAAGAAATCTTTTGAAATGTTGGACTCAGAGAGAAATAACACATGAGTGTATGAGGTGACAAATCGGCAGTCGTGTGCCATTGCTAACCAGCAAGGAAGTGTGTTTGGTCCTGCGCAGTGTTGTGGTTCTGGAGGTTAACTTTTTAATGATTTAAGATTTTAAAAAGCAAAACATTTTACATAAAATTCCAGATTTCCAGCTGCTGTTGAAAAAATCACAGGGTCCGCCAACCCTGCACCTACATGGCCACAGTTGCTAGGGCAGAGGAGTGGATGTGTGTGCGTTTCAGGGAATTATGCAATTTTTAGTTGGCCACAGAGTCACCCAGTCCTCGTGGTTTCCCCGTTCAGTTTACCTCACTCCTGTGGGTCACCTGCTGGACTGTCTTGGCCATGGCAGTCGGCTGGATCCAGAGAACCTTACGCTGCACAGCAGTGGACTGCCCTCTCGTTCGATGAGAAAGTGCATGAGTATGATCATTTCGTTCATTTCCACTTTATTGTTGTTTTTCCTCCAGCAAGAGCAAAGAGCATATAAAAATAAAACTCTTGTCAAAAGCCTGAAATTATTTTTTGTGGAAAAGAGTAGGTATTATTATGTGAATTTATGAAGTTCCAAAGAAGTATATCTAATACCTACCATTTTGTTTATTGTGAACATACTTAGCTCCGTGTATGCATGTGTATATTTATATGAGTATATATTTAAGTGATTTTATATGTATAATTAAATGAAATATGATATTAAGCAAATGTGTCAAAAAACTGGTATTAAAGGTAAATAGGAAAACAGAACAATAAGGAGAAAACCCTTAATAAACGATGAACCTTGAAACTACATATAAAAAGGAGGGCAGCATGGTGGTGATAAGATGGGAAACAAAAACAAAAATAAAAACACAAGATGTGTTTAAAAAGCTAACCTCACAATGTCCCAATAGGCACTACAGAAAATTGATTTTGCAGCTTTCTAGGGGCAGAAATAGGTTGAAATGAAGCAAAGATACACTAAGGCTCTGAATCTTACTGGCACCTCTAACTCCAAGCACAATTCTCTTGCTCTTCCCTCAAAAGCCACAGTAAGGGAAATGAAGCAGGTCTGGTTAAATTAAAGAAATAACTGGTTGCAGAAACGCAATAAAAATAAGAGTAAAGATAGTTTCTGATGAATGAGAACATTTCTCTTCTGGCATCTGGCCCTTGAAAATGTAAGGGATTGACTTCAGGAGAGGGAGGGAGGAGGGACAGAAAAGGCACAAAGTTCAGGTATAAGAGGAGAAATTCTTGCATTGGATAATGAAGATACCTGAAGTGTGCAGCTAACTAATCACCGAGTGAGAGAATTAAAGCCCCAGGCAGAGGCCTCTCACAAACTTATTTTAGTAGCTGCCAGTTAACTTCAGAAAGACTGTTTGTCATTGTGGGGGAAGAGGGGTGGGAGTAGGCAAGATAGAAACAGACCCAGGTGTTAGAGCCGCCCTAGACTGAAGGGCACTGCCCATCAAACTCACTGTAGGGTCGGAACCTCTCCAGCAGGTGCATCATTTTGAACTTCTCAAGTACCTATTTGCTTTCTCTACTACAGCTTGATACCTTAATAATAATCATTTTTCTAATGATTTGTAGCCATTTAAAAATCATGTTCTATATTCTGATTACTGAAAATTATGTACTCATGTGAAAGTTGCCTAATTTTACTATGCAAAAGTTTCCCCTCCCCGTGGAATACAAAGGTAGTTAACATGCTGAGCTAGCTTATTCCTCAAACTTCATGGGAAATGCGTGGACTTTTCCTATATGTACATTCCATTATGTTCATTCCAGTTCGTGGCTGAGACCAAAGTCCTAGGCCTGATACCATCCCCTTGCATTGAAAAGTTTCTCTTGGTGTCGTGGTGAAAATGAGGTTTATAGAGAAGCATGTTCAATAACTATTTATCAATTTTATAACTAGAAAACTTACATTTGTTTGTATGAAGGAAACCAGCTAGATACATTTAACCAGAAGCCAGATAATAAGTTATATTATTATTAACATAAATAAGTCATAAGCTAAGTAACAGCATTCCAATTATGCAATAATGACACTGTAATTGGTTAGAGGAATTCACTATTAAACTAAAATTTAGTTGAGAATATCATGTAATCTAATCTCTCCTGAGTAATACTATTATTACAGTAGAAAAAATCATTCCATTTTGATCACCTAAATCACAGCAAAATAGAAAAATTCCCTCAGAGTGATACATTTTATTGCTCCTTTGTTTACCTTCATAAGTGGGAAAGTATTTAATACATATCAACTCTCTCTTTATTATCATGCATTTCTTCTTAAACTCCTTTAGTAGTAAAGCAAAAACCGCCTTCCAACTTGTGATCAATCTTAGAATTCATGGGTATCTCAAAGCCTTTGCTTTAATGTTAATTGAGAAAGTAAGTGTTTACACTGATTTCCTAATGTTAAAGCACAAGCTATAATTGCAGCAATAAACCCAGAGTCTCTCTGTATTCATTTCTCCATTAAAAATGTTACCACTGCCCTGGCTATTGTAGCTCAGTGGATTGAGCATGGACTTGTGAACAAAAAGATCATGGTCTGATTCCCAGTGAGAACACATGCCTGGGTTGCAGGCCAGTCCTCAGCAGGGGACACATGAGAGGCAACCATCCATTGATGTTTCTCGCCAACTCTCTTTCCCTTCTCCTTTAAAGATAAATAAATAAAACCTTTTTAAGAAAATGCCACCACTTTATTTTTTGTGTGGAGTGAGTTTCCATGTTATAAATGGTCAGTAATATATAATACCTTATGGCAACGTATTTGTTTATGGTGATCCTGAATTTTTAGATTTGTTTTTGCAAAATGTTTACCAGATATCAGCATGAGATATTATTTGTTTCCATATTGGGGTTGTCAGAAATTCTCCCAATTAGACATAATCATAAACAACTATCTCAACTCACAATTATCTAATTTGCTTTGAGTGGTAGTCGTGAGTGGGAGTTAGAATCCCTCATACATTATTGTAAGCCTAATGTGGTAGGTTCCCTAAAGCAGGGGTGTCAAACTCACTTGCACCAGGGGCCATGTCAGCCTCGCGGTTGCCTTCAAAGGGCCGAATGTAATTTTAGGACTGTATAAATGTAACTACTCCTTAGCTAGGGGCAAGGAGCTCGGCACTGCGATGGGCAGAAACAAGGTGCGGGGCCAGATAAAACAAGGTGAAGGGCCAGCTTCTGCTCAAGGGCCTTGGGTTTGCCACCTGTGCCCTAAAGAGATTTGATAGGACTTCATCCCAGTTTCTACCTTTCTAGAACAATACGAGATTTTTCTGATAAATGATAAATTGCCTCAAATTCAGATCTATAAGAATCATTTGACATCTTACCCACAAACAACAACAAAAAGGCATTAACGTTAAAAACACCTCACCTAATTTCATTAAGGTATTTCATATAGTATTTGCCATGAAAGAATGGCATTACAACATTGCAAAGTTGACTGTTTAGTTTCCTGGATTCCTCTTGATGAAACTCTTAGGAAGAAAAAAAGGCATTAACATCTATTAGCTCCTAGAAAGAAAAGAGGAATTAACATTGATTAGCATCTGCATAGAGCCAAGCGGTGTGCTAGAATGTATTTGATCATCTGATGAGAGGCAGTGTTAAGATGGTTAAAATCAGTGTTGACTTTGTTTCTTTCCTTGCACTTGTATTTGCTAGTGCGACCTTGACTGTTTCATTCATTTCTCTGTGTTTCACTTTTCTCTAGTGAAATGAGTGAAATCCTACAATCCACCTCACAGGGCTGTTGTGAGGGATCAACTAAGTTCGTGGGTGTAAAGCACTTGCAGCACCGTTTGGCACTGCGTGGGCACGCTCCTCATGGCGTCTTACAAAGTGAGGTGCCGTTATCCCCATTTAACTGATGAGAAAACTATCATTCAGGGTTCAAGCAATGTATGCGAAACAACACAGGACGTTAATACCTGAAAATAAAGTAAGAGATTTTATCACTAGATTATGTTGTGATGTTTTTCTCCATTCTAGGCACATGCTGATTGCTTTCCCTCTGCAACACACAATCAAGCCCCTCAGTTTAGACTGTGTGTGTTGTGTAAGGGGGTAAAGGGTGTGTACAGAGGACTTACTGTTTCAAAACTTATGCATGAAGCAAAAGAATGTTAACATGTCTTTGAATCAGAAAACCCCAGAAGACAGGAAAACCACGTGCCAGTGGAAACACTGTGGAACCTTACTGAAGACAATAATAAGATTTACAAAGGCAAAATTAACTAAACTAGATAATTGTTCACATCATAAAGTATTAGAGGCAATTACTGATTTTTCTAAGAGCCCAAGTAAAACACAGTGTTTTGACTCTTAAGAGTGACTCTACCAATCTTCTGCCAACACCGTCAGATTCACTGATGAATGTACACACAAGACTTTAAGGGCATCGTGGAATGTTTTTAGATTCAATTTTTTTTAGATTCAATTTTTTAAAATAGGCTGTCCTTTTCACTTACTTTTACAATAACTTTTACCTCTGTGCTAGAGATATATGAGGGTACCTTGTGTGTGATTTGCTCTAGACCCTATTGGTAAATGGTAGGAAAAAATGAAAAAGGCCTTCGAAAATTTTTAAATCATGTTAACAGTTACTACTTTATTACATTCTCAGTGAAATTCTGTGGAATAAGTTGGCAATCACTAGAATTCCTAATTTACTGTCAAGAGTTCCAAATTACTTTCATTGGGTCAAAAAAAGCAGAGTGGGCTTGGAACTAATAAAAATGGCTAGTATTTACTCAACACAATTCTAAGTAGTGTAGGTCCATTTATTATTTAATCTTTACAGAAACAGATGAAATGGGAATTATTAATATAGCCATTTCACAGGTGAAGTGACTGAGTATCTTAAGGTTACATATCTTACCCAAGATCACAGCTAGTAAATGGCAGAGATAGAATTCAGGCCCAGACAAACTGAATCGAATTCCCACGCATTTACTCTCTTGACCACACTGCCTTTCTGAATTCAGTAAAAACAATAAAATGAGTGGTTTGTACCTTCATGTTATTTAGAATTTTTTTATAAAACCAGTGAAAGTATAAACAAACTTATCATAGGTATAAGTTCTGGTTTCTCTGGAAGGAAATGAATGTTGCATTTGGAATGTTTATTATTTAAGTACTTCTGAGTTTTCCTAGTTCTTACAGTCTTGCTTTATAGGGCTAGAGGCAGAAAATAGTCTTACCTTATAGCATTTGAGGCTGAAGCTATTAGGTTTGTGGTGTTGGAATAAATATGTCTGTTGTTTCTGTTCTAAGACTAACCCAGGCTGGGAATACAATAGGGTTAGGAATTTAAATGTTCACAGGACTCAAACTATAATTTAAAGCCACGCACTTCAGACTTCTCTACTCCCAATTCTGCAAGTTCACTTAGCCTTAACTCCTTTGTCACCAAAGCCAGCAATGCCCACTGGGCATGCCCAGTGAGTGATATGATTAGAGCTTGCAAACAGTTTCATTCACTCCAGGTTTTACCAGCTGCAAAAGAAAGGAGGAGACAGAGGGAAGAGTTAAACAGGTACAGAACTTGGATGAGCACTCAACGCCAGGAGATGACGAGAGGCTGGCAGGGAAACCGCCGTTTTAGACAGACTTCAGTCTGGTCTTCAAGTTAGTTACCGCTTCCCCGTTACCCCGTGGGTCCCTCTCACGTCTTCTGGGCACAGCCTAGGCGTATCATGAAGGTATGAAGAGACCACTCAGGCCGGGGCCAAGCAAGGGGTGGGCAGGGACGCTGGATCGGGGGATGCCAGCGACTGTGTGAGCCTTGCCTGTGCCTGCGTTCCTCGAAGAGCTGCAGCTTTCCAGGGGTTCCAAGCGGGAGAGCAAAGTGCACAAGTAAAACCAGCGCTCATCTTAAATACTGACTCCCTGGCCCCTTTCTTTCGGCTGCCGAGCCCTTCCCTGGAACCCTCTCAGGTAGCCTCGCCCAAATCACGACTAAACCCCGGAAAAGTGAAATCTTCACACAGCTTTCCGTGGGTCTAGCAGGGGCCTGGGCATGCTCAGTAGGCTACTCGGTTCTCTGGTGTTATCTCTCTCTCTCTCTTTCTCTCTCTCGTTGGGTGGGTGGCGACAAGTTACAAGCGCTTGCGGCAGGTCCCCGCCCCCAGGGTCGGCCTTCCCCTGCAAGAGGATGGAGCAAATGTAGAAACACCTGGCTCCGCAGCATCCTGACCTGGAGCTGGAGGGGCTGCGCCTGCGGGCCGACCCCAGCGGTGTCCCGGCTCGAGGACCGCCTGCCGCTCTCCACGGTACTGCGGAGAGCTCCGCTCCGCCCTTCCCTTTCAGAAGGACAGCACCCCGCGTCACGTAACCCAGCCTTCTGGGCTCCACCACCGCCTCCTCCTTCCCAGCTCTTTTCCTCTCCTCCTCCTCCTCCTTCTGCTCCCCTCCGTTGTCTGTTCTTCCTTCCCGCACTCCCGGAGATAGACGCTCAAGCCTGACGCCTCTGAAAAGGCAGCGGCAGTCGCCTTATCCACAGACCTCAGGAAATTCGTTTTGACCGATGCATGCTTCGGGCTCAGGCGCGAGCTAAGGGGGAATAACGGGGCAGGTAAAGAAGCTCAATTTGGGTTGGGGGGAGGGGATGGGGCGAGGCAAGCTGGAGAAGGATATCTCTCCCCGTTGTAACTGAGCCAGGATCTGCTACAAATGCACGGGGAAGGATGGGTGGTGGGAGGGTGGAGGAGTACAGATGCTGGTTGTTTTGCATGCAGCTTTTTTAAATAGATGGCAAGAGGATGAGGTGGTGAAACTGGGGTAGTAACTTAAAGGCTGAATGCAGTGATTTATTAGCAAAATAAAGAAAACGGGCAAGTTAGAAACCAAAGCAATAAAATGTTATCTATTATCTACATCTTTCTTGCTCTTCCCCATCAGCCAGCCGCATGCTGTGCCTATCCTTAATTTCTGTAGTCGACTCCAGGCTCCAAGAAACTGCACTGGTATTAGACATGGAGCTTAGAGACTGGGCGGGAAAGCCAGGGAGAATTTTGGGTGTGAATTGTTATTGATGGACTTTGCAAAAGCTGGGGAGGAAATGATAGGCACTTCTAAAAATTGTCCCAAAATTTCTAGGTTCTTTATGACAGTATAGATTGAAGGGTGCATAGAAGGAGTGTGTGTGTGTGTGTGTGTGTGTGTGAGAGAGAGAGAGAGAGATACTACATATTAAAATAAATGCAACTGCAGCTGATCAGCGTACCGTATTGATCCTTCCGGTGGCTTGGGAATGGATTTGATTCTAGAAAAGAAAGAAAAGATTAATGAGGCTGTTAGTCTGCTTTTGAATTAGAGCGCTTCTTTCTCTGGCTGCAGTAAGGTTGTTTTTCAGATTCTCTTATTTCATCCTCTAATTTGCGAACTCGCAAGGTTTTTTCCAGCTCCTAGAGAGAATCCTCTTTCTCCATATAAATACAGATACTCTCTCACACAACAATGAGCCTCCTCTAAGAACTGGGAGAGTCGGTTGACCTCCCCTGTGGTTAAGAATATATATGTGTGTTTTTCTCCCTTCTCCTCCATTCCTTAAAAAAGAAAAGAAAAAAAAAACCCCAAACAGGTACGCATTATTAGAGGAGTACAGAAGAGAGGGTGAAAAATGTTTTGTGATCTAGGTTATATTAATTAATTAATTAACCGGCTCCAACTGAGTCTCACATAAAGAATGGTTTTCTAACCCATGAGCTCATGAATGGTTACAAAGCACTATTCTTGATCTTGAAATTCCAGAATTATTTTGCAAATGATTAAACATTTGACAGAGTCTTGAGTCCACTAAAAACAAAAGTATAGTGAATAATATGCTATCTTAGAATGATTTTTAAGAACACCTTCCATTGGGCTTGGCACAGGAGTAGATGAGATATGGCTGGTGACTGCTGGTGGTGTGGGATGTCTCAGCCATAATAAATAAGCAACTGAGATTTTTATTTCCCTTTGCTAGTGGGCAGTGTGTGTGTGTGTGTGTGTGTGTGTGTGTGTTGTGTTATGTTTGTGTTGGAAGAGAGAGAACCAGTCATCAATTTCTTCTGGGGAGGAACTCGAAGTGGGATCCCCTAGCTTGGTGGCTCTCAGCTGACACCTGTAGGGATTGCTCTGTACTGAAGAGGCATGCTCTCAGCTCTGTCCATGGAGGAGCAGCAGCACAATGCAGTGCCATAAATTACTGCTAGTTTCAGCTTGTATGGGAAAAAGTGTTAATTGGATAGTGAACTTCTGTGTCCAGGCAATGGATTGTGTGTGTTGGGGGGGTGTGGGATACATGTGACCAGATTTTACATTTGTGATTTTTTGGGTCAAAACATGAGAGTAATATTATGTGTTAAAAAAATGACTTTTGAACAACTCTTTATGATTTCTGTACCATGTCAAGAACCTATCAGATTAGAGTTGATTTAATGGTACAGTGAGGGAGTCAAAGGTGTGATTTTAAAATCTAGCATCCTAGAGCCGTATCAGCTACAGTAACACACAGGCCAACTGCTGTTCTGACCACACAGATGCTCAGAGCTGACAGCCAGATGAGTGCTTGAGGAGGAGTTAAGATCACTCGCTGTTAGACAAATTATTAAATACTTTACACATCTGTAGAGGAGTTAATAATATGGCAGTTGAGACATAAATGCTGTCAAAAGTAGATGTGACTCCAGTTAGATGTTTTCCCCTATGATAAATTATTCCTTTAATAAAAAGGAGAAAACTACTTGTTTGAAATTTTAAAAGGACTTCCAAGAAACTATCAATATTCCTTCTCTCCTTGAGGAAAAATATAATGCTAGGAATGGAGTAACATTCAAGCTGACAGTTTCCAGGGGACAGTTTGATCTGCTTTGCCCGTTGTGAAATCAGCTATTAACTAAGATATGAATAGGTTTGTTTTTATTGTCCATGTAACTAGTACCCAATATAAACAGAAGTCCTTAAAACAGCCCCTTTTCACCTGTCTTTGTATAATTAAAAAAAATAAACTCCCAGAAAAAGTAAAAGATAACCAAAACCAAATCTCTACGAAAATCTGAGAGGGTTAGCTGTTAATAGTTACACTCATAATAAACTACGAGGGTGTAAGTGGGTGACTGTAAGAGTGATATACTCACTACTGGGACACAGTAAATCAGGACAAATAAGCTCCTTCCAATAAGGTTAACTCTGGTTTATAGCAATAGTTTTATATACATGGTTTCTGAGCTGAATAATGATTTATATGACACTATGAATGACTTTAAAACTTTATTTTAATTCTCTGCAGATTTCTGGGTCCTTGCTAAAGACAAAAATTTAATCAAAATGCATCACCAACACACAACCAATTGACATGCTGACATTCTAGCTTGGCCTTGCAGAGGTGGAGAGAAAAGAAGAGCTGTTGTGATTTCCACATCTAACAGCTTCTGGCTATTCCACAGCTTCTGGGTTTGAACCCTGCTGCTGGGGAGGGAAAAAGAGACGGAGAATCCAGCCCGCGAGGTCATGCACAAGGAATTCTTTGACTACAGTGGTGCTGAAAGTCCATGATATGACGGAAGAAGCAGGTCTTTGAAACTATACTGGGGTTGATGAGTGGTGCTCTAAAGTACAAGGAACCACTTTCTCCTTCTGCTTTGACACACTTCATCTGAGAAGGCATTCCCACGCATCCAAAGATTCTGGCTCATTGGTGGCTCCTTGTACTTCCCCGATAAGTGTTTACTTCTTACCTGACTCTAACTACTTCCCTTTTGCCTGGTACCACTGATGGTACCTGGCAGACGATGATTATTTGAGGAGTGAAGCATCTGTTGACATCATTGATGCCCTTGAACTAGTTCACTGGACTCAAATGGATGAGTGATTTCCCTTGACCTTCTGTTGACACCTTTTCCAGAACGTTGCTTCCAAAGTGTATCCTCCCTTTGGTTTGGACGTTTTGTGGCTGCCCTGTACGACTGGGGTCTACGCTTTCCAGTTGGAAGGGGACTACAGGGAGAGAGGGAGGGGTTGCTGGAAGAAGAAGAAGAAAAAAAGAACTAGACAAAGGAGGGTGCGTCCCTCCCACTCCTGCCCAGCCCCCCATCCTACTTACCCCTGGACCCTTATTTCGGCATCACGGTGTCCAGGACCACTTTGACCCTGTCGGCCCCGGCACCCCCCCGCCGCACCCCAGCCCCGAGCATGGGGACGGCGCTACTCCAGCGCGGGGGCTGCTTTCTCCTGTGCCTCTCGCTGCTGCTCCTGGGCTGCTGGGCAGAGCTGGGCAGCGGGCTCGAGTTCCCGGGCGCGGAGGGCCAGTGGACGCGGTTCCCCAAGTGGAACGCCTGCTGCGAGAGCGAAATGAGCTTCCAGCTGAAGACGCGCAGCGCCCGCGGCCTCGTGCTCTACTTCGACGACGAGGGCTTCTGCGACTTCCTCGAGCTCATCCTGACGCGCGGGGGCCGCCTGCAGCTCAGCTTCTCCATCTTCTGCGCCGAGCCCGCCACGCTGCTGGCGGACACGCCGGTCAACGACGGCGCCTGGCACAGCGTGCTCATCCGCCGGCAGTTCCGCAACACCACGCTCTTCATCGACCAGGCGGAGGCCAAGTGGGTGGAGGTCAAGTCCAAGCGGAGGGACATGACCGTGTTCAGCGGCCTCTTCGTCGGGGGGCTGCCCCCGGAACTGCGCGCCGCGGCGCTCAAGCTCACGTTGGCCTCGGTGCGGGAGCGAGAGCCGTTCAAAGGGTGGATTCGGGACGTGAGGGTCAACTCCTCCCAGGCCCTGCCCCTGGACAGCGGCGAGGTGAAACTGGACGATGAGCCGCCCAACAGCGGCGGCGGGAGCCCCTGCGAGGCGGGCGAGGAGGGCGAGGGCGGGGTGTGCCTCAACGGGGGCGTGTGCTCCGTGGTGGACGACCAGGCCGTGTGCGACTGCTCGCGGACCGGCTTCCACGGGAAGGACTGCAGCCAAGGTAAGGCCCGGCGCCTGACCCACCCCACTGGGGCCTTGGCTTGGGCAGGGCGTGGGGGGGAAGAGCGGGGCAGGCGGGGCGGGGCCGGTGCATGGGGTCTTCCTTCTCTGGACGCTGTTGCAATTAGCTTCCAGGTGAACACCTGTTTCTGGCATCGCTGCCTCATCACTCCCACAGCTTCTCCTTTGGCATCCTCTTAATGGATGAGCAGCCACATTTCCAAGTTCGCTTTCTTCCTGTGAGCTCTTTGTCCCAGGTCTACTTCCAACTACGTGGCCGGTAGGATGACCTGTCCTCCTCGTTCCTTGAATTCTTTGCTGGGCTGCTCCCCATCTTCATTGGGCCATGGCCCACCTGAGTAACCACTGTGCTTTCCTCTGCCGCCTTTAAGTTCGTAGTGCACAGATTTTCCCCATTAGATGCAAACAAGCATTTAGGTAGAAGATTGAGCACACATTTGGTGAAGAATGACGTGCACGGCAGGTGCTCCATGGTTGAGAATCCCCACACAGGTATTCTTGGTAAAGGACAAGGGAGACAGGACCGCTGAGTACTGCTGTGCCTTTTACTGGTAAAGTGTGAAGTCCTGTACCTGGTTGTGGGAAAACAGGGGAGGAGGCATCTGAACATATTCTTGATTGGAAGGAGGGTTCTTGGAATTAATGTTAATTTCTAGGTTATGACCAAGGCCAAATTTGTCAATTTATGTAAAATTATGTGATGTCTGTGGTTTCTTAAGTGGGAGACAGGCCAGTTAATGTTTAGAAATGTTGGAGATCAAATAGCATTTCTCAATTAGCAGATGCTTTGGGGAGATAAATAGTAGAGAAGTTTAGATGTTTCTGGATCGGGAAGCTAATAAACAGGGCATGCATATGAAGGATTGCAAGAGATTATCTGAGGATATTCAGCTAATGATATTTATCCGAGTAGCGGAGGCCACGTTGTAATTTCTGTTGTTCTTAGGGATGGAAACAGTGTTGAATTTAAAATAAAATCAGATCTAACTTCTCTTTTCATCCCATTATAAATACAATTCAGTCATTAGCGTGTTCTCGCAAATGTTGCTATGTGACAGTGATCAAGGAAAAATATATTGTGTAAACGCAGAAAAGCTTATGAACAGAAAGTGAATGATAATGAAAACAATTAAACATGGATATATCTGTGGCTGAGCAGGAGAGAAGATATAAGGGTTTAGAGCAGATAGCTTATGGGTCAAATGAAGGCAGTCAACACGTGGGTAAATGGTATTTATGGCTGAAATTTAGTAAGAGGTGAATTAGTAAATCTGATTTTGAGAGCTGTAGGGACTAAGCTCTATGCATGCTTCTATATTATTGTATAATGTCTCTATTTTTTTTTTTTTTTGCTGACACTGCTAAGGAGAATTAGCCCTTGTAAATCTTATTAGACTTGGCAGTTCTCTCTCACCTGACTTTAAGAGAAATGAAGGCTTGATGGAGTTTGTACTCGTTTAAACAGCAAAGGGAGATAGGAAGAAAAGAGCTGGCCACTAGGAAAGTTCATGGGTCGATGAAAAAAGTAAAAGGTTATGTTCTTGTTCTGTCTTCATGAGGGCTTTTGTTTTCACTATGTTTTTGCTCAAGTCATTACAGATAACTATGTATTTCATGGTTTATACTGCACTTCAGTTTGGCTAGTAAATTTCCATGGATTTAGCCTTAGGCTTTGTAGTTATGTTTTACATAAATAAAGCAGTACATGTTTCCCTCTACCAAATCTAACTCTATTGTAAATCACGAGAAAGATAGCTCCATGTGATGATTTGCAATACTATCATTTGAAGTTGCATACCTCCACACTAATTAATGGAAATGAATTAAAAACGAATATTATTTTGTGGTAAAATTGCTCTAAGTGTCCTAATGCCACTTTAAAATACAGTGCAGGCAATTTAATGAAGGACACATGAGGTATGACTTCCTTCCTTAAATTAGGAAATAAGACACAGCTTCTTCTCTGTGGGAGGGTGTTTTAAATGAAAAAATTTCATTTTTCTGGTATTTTTAATGTAGGGATCCAGGTATCATGCATAATCAGGAGTAGTTAAGAGTGGAGAAAGCATGGCAACAATAATATGTTGAAGAATTAGTTGTCTCAGAAATGCATTTTATTTTGCAAGTGGATAGCTTTTGCCAGAAGATGAAGAATTGGAATTACCACGCTACATAATTGAACAGCATAGTACCTGATGCATAAGGTAATTCAATCCAAAAAATAAAGTCCATCAGGATTGTTCTGGAGCATTGATTCGTTTTGAAAATTTGAGCTTAAACTGGAGTGCAAAGATCACCACTGGTCATGAAAAGCAAACAAAAGACTGGATTCTTCTGATTATCACACAAATGGGAGATGGAGCTGATAAAGGCAGGCTCTTTCTTCCCAGAAGGATTGGCTCCATTTTGACTATTTTCCCTGTTTCCTGTATGTCAAGTGACTGTTAAATAATTAATTGAGAATAGATGCGGCTCCCAGCACCAATCTTCTGTTGATGGCTAGGGATAGATGATTTCTATTCAGATAAAGTATAAACAGAGCCCTGCTTCTAGCCAGTATTTACACTGATTGCCACATTCTTTTTAAAAACAAATTTAAAAACAGATAAATCCACATTCATTAGAGAATTTAGGAAGAAAGTTAATAGCAAACAGTAAATACAATTTATATGATGCCCGGTCTCAACTATAATTTTTTAAATAAAAATGTCTACTTATTTTAGTTGCTTTCATATTTGAAATACCATAAAACTACTAAAAAGACAGCAATGCTCTTCTCTCCTTCCCCAAACCCCTGCCATGGCCTGGAAGCCTGGAATGTCCTCTAACAATTTATGTACCTGTGAATTTCTAGAATATTTTTATTTAATGAATTTATTTTTATCCTTACTCTATTTATTCAGGCCTAAGGAACTTTATTTATTTATTTATGCAGTAATGGAATGAGAACAAAAGAGAGGTTATATGTCACAAACAAGTTAGTGGCAAAGCCTCGGTAAGAACATAGGCACCTCTTACTGAGCCCTGTGTATTATGTCTGTTGAATAAGATTTCTGGTTTATTAGGGTTTTTCAGGTATAGGCAGTAGTAATAAAGAGAAAAAGTTTTATACACACACACACAGGAGTGGTGGGTAAGAGCTAGATTATGCATCACTGTGTTCTTTGACCCTGAGACTTAGCCTCAGAACTGAACTGTTTAAGAGTGTCATTCTCCTGAATGCTGGGTGCTTATGAGGCACGTGGTTTTTTCAGTGATTTATACTCATCTAAGTGCCCCAGGGCCATCATTATTTAATAAGTGTCAACTTAAGAGGACTAATTGTTTCCTACCACCTTAAAAGAATTAGTGAATTTGATGACTATCCAGTTCAAAAATGAGAATAAAAAACCAATCAATGAGAAATTAAGTTAAACCCAGGGTCACGTGTATGAAAATTTCATACTGGACTCTGAGTGTCTCTTTTATTTACATTCCCTATGTGAATGGCCACACACACATGTAGCTTGTGGTGGTTGATTGCTTAATATTAAACATGGTAGTGTGGATAGATGTCATTTAATAAAGCCTCTGCTCTCTATGACTTTGCCAATATGACCAGATAGACAACCATATTCATTCATTATTTTACTCATTCATTTCTTTATTCAACAAATATTGAAGGCTTTGTGTGCATCTGAGTCCTAGACTTAGGTGGTAAGACAGTAAACTCTCAGAAATAGTTCCTTCCTTCACAGCCCTTGCATTCCAGTGTAGAGGCACAATAATGTACAAAAAGAAATACATGGATATTTTCAATGGTAGTATATATTTTGGAGGACTGGTACCTGGTATTGTGACAACTTAAAATAGTGTAAACTGACTTAATCAAAGTAGGTTTTCCTGAAGAGTAAGGTTTCAACTAAAATCTGAAGGAGAAGAAGGAATTCACTAGGTAAGGGGAGAAAGGGAATATGAGGTACAGAATCCTGAAACAGGAGATGACATGGCACATTCAAGCAACTGAGAAATGTTCCTTGAGTATGGAGCTCTTAGAGAGAGGAGGGGGCCAGATCTTGCAGGGCCCCCTCCTAGACCTAGACCTAGACCCTTCTAGACCTAGTCAGGGATTTTAATCTTTATTGTGAGATTGATAGAAAAGCAGTGGGAGGAGTTTAGTGTGGAAGGTGAGGAGGAGGATGTTACTATTAAGTTTATGTTTCAAAAATGTCACTCTGGCTACAGTGTTAGAACAGATTGATAGGGGGCCAGAGGAAAAAAGAGAAAACATTATTTTCTGTTTGTCGGTCAACAACATTTGTTAAGCACCCACTGTAAACTGTAGACAGACTAGAGCACAGAGAGAACAAGATTCTTTCTCTAAGGAAGTTAGAATCTTTGTGAGTTTACTTACACATAGGAGTCTCAGGCCATTCATTGTTTGAAACTCTTTGGTTCTACCTCTAAAAGGCATTATCTGAACCCTTGGTGTGATTTGTCATGTGGTTTCTCTGGGATGTACCCATCGAATGCATGGATTCCTGCAGCACGTCGGTAATCTCACACTTCATTAGACTCTCAAGTATCTTACCAAACACGTTTTTCTTATGACAATATACATATTGGTTGATTGATTCTAGGCTCCAAACAGTAACAGCTACAATAAAGAAAATATTATGTAGGTGCTTACAATCTTTGTCAGGTTAAAAAAAATTTAAGCATTTGCCATGTAGGTAGTAGGTACTAGACAAAAACATTCAGAGATGTTACCAGAGTTTTGTTTGAAGTCTACTATTGTAGGAGGAGATGGATCATTTGGCTGAAAAAGATAGGACTGGAATGCAGAAATTCATCAATAATTGTGATCTAGATAAAATGTTCTGGGAAGCTCTTAAAGTATGACAATGAAAAGCATCTATATGATCTAGCAAAAAAACAACAAAAACCAAAAAACTTATCCTGACTATAAATTAGTAATCAAAATTGAGTTCCTATTCTAGA